TAATGTTATGTGTAAGAGTCGCTTCAGAGCGCAAATTGTTTTTGGGGCCAATTTCTCCCGTCTTGAGTGCAGATCCAGTAGAGCCGTGGACAGGGCCTAAACTTAACCAACTAATTGTACCAAAGTTTCCCTCTCGTCTGGCAGCTCTTCCCCAGGCAGCATTCTTTTCGGTGCTTTCTCGTCCCAGTGAAGAGTAGGTATCTGCGGCGATGCTTCTACTGTCCCCACTGTACAAACTCTCGTTCTCCAGGGCCACACGAAACTGGTGCCATATAGAACCCAGGTCGATGCCCTCCAGGCGCTCCCAGTCAATTAACACGCCGTCGCCAGTTGACAACAATTCGGTAGGATCAATTTTCAAACAAGGGTCGCCGGCACTACGATCAACTGCGATAAACGGCAAAGAGTCTCTTCCACTGTCTGTTGGCCGGTAGCCAAATCCACCAAGTTCCGGGTCTCCAAAGTTGGCCCAATCGGCACCTCGATCGCTGGTCTTAAGGAGGCATTCTCCCATTGTATCCTCAAGGGTGACTAGACGGTCAGTAAACCGTCGCATTTGGGGGAAATCGAACACATGTATGCTGACTTGTTCAGACGGGCTGTCACCGAGTGCAGCAACTAATGGTATGTGGTCGTCAGATTGGCGCGGGATTCGGCGAGTCATTTTTGTTTTCCGCCTCGTGCTGGTAGGAGATGAATAGATATTGCTGCCAGATAGCCCAAGGCGTGAGGCAAAAGGAGTCTCCGTTTCAAGTTCATTGGCTGTGGCTGGTGTCGGATCGGTAAGGAGATGACTCAAATTGTTTAGCCGGGTAGGGTAGGACCAAGTGATGTTGTGCGCTGAGGTGCAACATTGTGTGGCGGAATAGTAGGGCAAATGGTGCAGAACGTTTGATGAAATAAGAAGGAAATAAAAGTATTTATGTAGCAAGCTTATTTTCGCTGCCACTTCCATACCAATACAGGTTAGGCATATATTCGACACGAAATTTGTCCATTAATGAACTACTCATGCCTGGACAGATATAGAAAAGGTCATAATTTAGCATACAATAGTTGATAATTCAACAAAATCAAGCCTGCTCCTTTATGGCGCTCGAAAATGAAGTAGTTTGTCTAATTGAGAAAGCAATATATTATGGGGCATGTGTCTCGTTACAGCCTATTAAAGTGAAAGTTGACTTGGCTTGTACCATTGGTCCCTGAACTGGAGATGCTTCCATCATTCTGATTCATAAGCACGATGGAAAAGGCTCATCAATAAATAGTGAGGATTCACTTATATTGAGCAATCTCCTATAAACTTCAACATCAAATTTGCAATTTGAACATCTTCACTGATACCTCATGGTTGTATACTCCTACCTCATTCTTGTATTGCAAGCATGAAAAGTAGCTATTAATAGTCAAAGATGCCATTTTGCCATTAAAGTGCCTATATAGGGTAGGGGCATGAATAAGTCGTTCACTTACAATAAACCACTTAATTAATGATTAATAGGCCAAATTTATCAAACATCAGGGCACAAAGACCTATAAATTATTTTCACACTGCTTCAAACTACTTGCATGCTTTTTACTTGGATCTTTCCTATATTTATTGCTTTTACCAGCAACTAGTTCCTTCATACAGTATGTTCTCGACAGGCTTCATAATTTGTTGATTCGTTTTGATGAAATACTGCATATTTCATACTTATATCTCTACGCTATGAAATTTTAACTGGCTTTGGTGAGCGTATCTTTGCCTGAGAGATCATCACATTCAAATGTCTATGGGCTACTCACATTTTAGCCTGTAGGCAAAAAAGGTCTTGGATCTAAACTTCACCTCAAGAGTGACCTTTCCTAACAAGCCATTACTTAATTGCAGATGAGATATCAAAATGAAATTAAATAAGATGAGCCCTTATCATTGACTCAATCTCTGGCTATTTCAAGTAAACATCCTCGATGGGGATCAAACCTTGACAGCTCGCTCTCATTTAGGTTTCCTCACTCATGAGCGTTGATACCCTGGCTAAAGGAGTAATAAAAAGTCTTAATCTTTTCGACACGCAAATCATGCCATTGAATAAATACAATTTTTAAAGGCAATATTAAGTATTTAATATTTTGCTTCGACAACATATAAACAAATAAAAATGTCAGCCACAATTTCCAGAACTTGTAAGTGACGAGATCAATAGTGGCAGCGAAAATATAATTACTCCAAATTTATGATTAATCTGT